CTTCATTTCGGATTATATGATCCAATATGCATATAACCCAAAACGAAATGTGTAATGTAAAATTTATTTAATTTTTTGTCTATTGCATTTCATAAGATATTTTTTCTAAATAGAAGAGATTAGATAGAATGAAAAAGTAATTAATTATGATCTAAGAGCTGTTGGTCCAGTGGCAATCCAATTAAACTTCAGAATCTTATTTGTCCAAATAATAGTGAATTTGAATTTTGATAATCGTAATTCTTAGAGAAGGTAAAGAGGCACAAAACTGAAATTGAATTAATTATATTTATTAAAACTTAGAACATCGATGGATATGTAAAAAAAATAATTATGTGAATGAGAATGAACTTCTGACATGTTACGTTTGGCTCCGAAAATGAAAATTCCGCTCCCTAACATTTTTTCAATGTTTTAAATAGACCGTCCATCCTTAAAATAAAATATAACAAATTTACATTCCATTTATCAATTTTTTTAATCAGTCTTTTTTTTTTTTGGTAAGCTTTTTAATCAGTCTTTACATACTATAAATCAACGTAAAGGAAGATGAATATATAATACATGTTAGGATATTCTGATTGAAAATAAAAAAAGTCATTCCATCGTTATATATAAGCAAAACAAAAAAGAAAAAGAAAAAAGGAATGATCATTTCATTCTCAAACCCAATACTAGTTTCACTTTTTTAGAATAAAAAAATTAGTTTATCTAACTAAAATAAGGGAACAGATCCACTTACCACTAATTTTTTTTTATCAATCTTACCACCAATTTAATCACTATTGATTTTCGTCAATCTAACGGTTATAATTTATTGAAAATTAATATAATTTATTATGTCACACTTTTTAATTAATTATTAATTTCTAATAAATTATAAATACTAGATTGATGGGAATCAACGGTGATTAATTTAGTTGTAAGAGTGGTAAATTTTTTTGGTGGTAAGTATATCCTGCTCCTAAAATAATATGGGTATATCATTCTTATTGAGATTGTCTTCTAAGCTTATGATTAAAATTGTTATTTCACATTGAAGTTCTTCTTTCCAATAAAATAAATTATTTATCTCCAAAATGAGTTAATTTCGGTACAATAATTAACAAGGCATGTTGGCCTCTTGGAGTCGATTCCATTAGCATGTCCAGAGTATATTCCAAAAGTTGTATCATCCTAGCTAACCAATCTTATTAACATTTTTTAAAATATCAAATAAATAAAACTATTAACTTTTTTGTTTACAAGATATGCAATCAATTTACCTTGTAATATAATACTTTCTTTATTAAGAATTTGGAGGATGCTTTAAATTGATATATCAAAACTCATATGACACTATTCTCTAGCGTCATTGCCCATAATGGATAGACACAAATTCTACCACAACTTTCTCACATTGTTCCAAACTGGTTTATATTATATACGAAGAATGTTATATTCATAAAAAAAATTTCTTACAAACTTATAAAACACAATAAGTCTGACTGGTCATACTTGGAACAGTGACCAAAATGTCACTGTTCTCTATTTTTTTTACCTAAATGTCACGCCAACAGTATTAATTCCCAGTATGCCACGTGGGCAAGTTCGCTGGGGTAGCGAACTTAGTTGCAATTATTGCACCTGCACGTTTCCACTTGCCACGATGACAGGTGGCAGACATGCAACGAAGTTCGCATGTCTGCCACCTGTCATCGTGGCAAGTGGAAACGTGAAGGTGCAATAATTGCAACCAAGTTCGCTACCCCAGGTAGCGAATTTGGTGTCCACTAAGAACGTGACACGTCAGCAAACTGAGTTCGCTACAGTGTTCAGCGAACCTGCCCACGTAGCATATTGAAAATTAACACTATTGGCGTGGCATTTAGGGAACAGTGGCATTTAGGTCACTGTTCCGTCATACTTCATTCAAGAATGTATGACCAGTGAGACTTAGTGTTGTTTGTAAGTTTGTAAGAAAAAAAGTTTGTCAATATAATCCCTTCCATTATATATATATATATATATATATATATATATATATATATATATATATATATATATATGGCATAAATATATTGCGTATGTGCTAATACATGCAGATTGCAGAGACCAAACACTATCAAAACCTCCTCACATTGGTCCTGTTATTCTTCCTAAATCAACAAAGAAGCATAAATGTAAGCAATAAACATTACCCAAGTGGGTTGATTGATACTACTAGGATGGTTCTCTCCAATTTCCTATACTTATTGAGAAGTGCAATTGTTCTGACCTAAGACAACCACATATTCGAATACAAGTATAGTCTTCCATTTACTATATAGCATATTTTCAATTTCCAATCACATTATAGCCAATGACTAATGAATATAGGATCTCACACAAAGCATATATATATATATTGTCAGAATACAAATTCTGACTTTAAATGGAAAACTCACAAGTCAGAACCTATTCTGTGGGAATAAAGCTTCTAGTTTACATTTGAGCACATGATCCAACTCAAGCACAAGGTTTTCACATGGTCAAAGAGAGGATGTGTAACTTAGTCAAGTTTATAGAATAACTTGATCGTTCATACAATCATAAGTACAAAGTGAAACTGTTGTCACATGCCTGCAGATTCCAGTTTAGCACACAATGGTGTCAGACAAAGATTAGTTAACAGAATCTTCACATTGTTGGTTCTCTAGTAAAGAATAAAAAGCATGTTATTTTGGTTAACACACTGAAATCAGGGATGGAGCACTTGGATTGCATTCACTTGGTCTATATTCCCCACAATTTGTCAGCGCCTTTTGATTTGAATTTATTCAAAAGCATATATCTAAAGCATAAAATTAAAACTACGGAACAAAACATGAAGTGAACCTGATACTCGTTTAGAGGTTGCCCATCTTGTAGATTTAAATATTCAATTATTACACAAATTAGACCTATTAGTAAAGTCTCCTCATGTTTATGCAACTTGTCAGTGGGTGGAAACCCAACTGCGGACATTATCACAAATGAATTAAGCTATAGTCCAACTATAAATTGGCCCAACATTTCATCTTAATAAAAAATCTTAATGTATTAAGTCACTAGCATTAATCTAGTGATGAGTAATTTAAATAGTTCACATGAGATTATCTATTCAAAATCTCAATGCCACTATTATATATAAAAACTTTAAGGTGGTGTTTGGTTGAGAGTTTTTTAGCAGATATTTATTTTTCTCAAGTATGGCTTTTAGAAATACCATGTTTGTTTCAACGTTTTTCACCAAAAACCCATCTATCCAATTTGTCTGGATTTATGAGAAACATAGATATCCGCACTGTTTAGAAACCCAATTTGAAGGTGAGATTTTTTGGAAAACCGATTATCTGGCTTTTAATGCACTGTTGATTTCATAAAGTTACCTAATTTTTTCAGTAAAATTTTTCCTCGCCAAACAACTTTTTTTTACATTTTTCTACCTATCTCACTTTATCTATCTTTCCAATCATTTCTCTATCTATTACATTTCTCTACTATTCTAAAAAATTTTCCTCAACCAAACGCTGGATTCCAGAGTTATATACAACAAATAGATACCTAGTCTTATAAAAAAATTAACTAAAAAAAGTACCTTCCTCTTTTTGTCAGGACTATGTGAACTTCATTTGTCAGAGTGTGTTGGCTCATCAAGTTAAATGAATCCGAATAATACGCTGCATTCTGTATACGCATGAGCTCAAATACTCCTTTTTAATTTTTAACTAGTAATCCCTTTTCGTTGTCATTCATACTTTGAAATTTTTTATAAAATATCTTAGACATACTACTAGCATCTTGACTGATAGATTTCGAATAATCTATTATTTTATTGCTTATTTTAGCAAACTAATTCATGTAAAGATTTTCAAAAGTCAAAATTGAAGGTTAAATTACTCATTTCGTCCCTATACTTTCACTTAAAATTTAATTTAGTCTCTAGAGTTTAAAATTACTTAAAAAAATTCCCAATAATTTTTAAATAATGCAAAATGGCCCTTAATTGTTATAGTTGAGTTTGTTCCCAACATGCTCTAAAACAATAGAGACTAAATAGGGGCCATTTTGCATTGTTTGAAAATTATAAGTTTCTATTCACATTGCTTGAAAAATATAATTTTTTTTAGACAATTTTAAACTACAGAGCAATGTTATTAAAATCGGCCTGGTCATTGACTCGGTCGAGGTACTGGGTCACTGGGTCGCTGGTTCAACCAGTGGGTCACTGGTTCAACCGCATGACCAGGTAATTATATGTAATTTTATAATTTATATTAAAAAATTATAAACATACTCAAATATCTAAAAAAAATGATAAAATTTTCAAATATTTTAATATAAAAATAATAAATCCCATATTATTATTCAATAAAGGATCAAACAAAAATATATTGATCATGATACGAGGCTTTAGGTTCAGAAAACGACATCTCTAACTATAAATCAAATCAAAATTTTCTAGATAGTGCATAATTGAGATAATATTAGTGTTGTAGGTACATAACTTATGTAAGTCAATAAGCAAAAAAATATTTAAATATATCCATTTTGATTTTTTAAAAAAAAAAATAAATAATATTTTTTTTTGGGACCGGTCCGGGTCATCGATTAACCGACCGGATCACCGATTTTCATGAAAACCGGCCGGGTCGGACCGGGTCACACCGGTTCTGATGCATAACCGGTCTGTTACTTCAACCGAACTGATTATATGACTAGTTTATCGATTCTCGGGTCAGTCCGATTTTAGTAACACTCTACTACATAGACTAACTAAATTAAATTTCGGTTGAATCCCTAAAAACCAAATTTATTCAAACAGTTATAACAAAGCCTTGACGGGCCTTGGCCGTTTTTTTTTCAACTTTTGATTGTAACAAAGCCCAAAGACGTATTTTTTGGAGACTTTTTTTGTTTATTGTTACGACCGTATGCTACCGTAGGTATACCATACGAAACACGCGTATTCCAAGTGTAAATACCCCCGGTGCATCTACCACAGATAGTGGGAACGACCGCAGTGAATCACTACCCCGTCGTCTTCAACGAATTGGTCGTAGCAGATTCGAAACCGAGCGCGGAGCGAAGATTAAAGGTACTCTCTCTCTCTCTCTCTCTCAAGTTTTCGGTTACAGCTTCGAAAGCGGACTCATATTTTATATATTGTGGTGTCGAAATCGATCTTGGATCGCATTCAGTTTGCGTAGATTCCAAGCTAACTGCCACCAAATTTCATTGCGTATTTTTTTCAGGCATGTGAATGTAGAATTTTGTTTATTTTGGATATGTGTTTGGAAGGGAGAAAATGACTTCACAGTTTCTTGTTTTTGATATTTTATTTATTTATTTTTGGAATTTGGACATTTGAATAGTTTCATAGTTCTCAGTGATCCCTATGTTGTGTATATTCATTGTGACTGATCACTGACTAACGCTATTAGTGAAAAGTTTAGTTGAGTTTCACTCAGCTGGTTTTTTTTTGTGAATGAATGAGCACTAGAAGAGTTCATACGTATTGCATAAGATATTATTTTTCTACTATTTTTAGTTATTCTTCGTAACCAAGTTATGATTGGCGTTTTGTGACCTGTTATGATCTAAAGACTAAATCTAGCTGATTCCCAGGGTAGGTTTTAGTTTTATATTTATAATGAATATATATGTAGATTTTGTTCCATGGCAAAAGTTTTTAGCATTCTATAAGTTTATTTTCAATTAATTTGATTAAGATATGGCCTCGTATTCAGCACATCTTAAGTTGCATGCTGAATACTTTGGTAGCATTTATATTTTAACTATGTCAAGTAGTACAAGACGAGACTATTATGCTGAAATGGTCTGCACCTTGCATAATGATGCTTAGTTTGTAATTGAAGATTAGAGAAAACCCTAGCTTGATGTTGCGTTCAACCCTCTCTTTTTTTTTTGGAACCTTTTGTTTGTCAATATTCTTCTCTGCATGTATTTTTCATGATATCAAATTTTATACATACTCTGACTTAATTTCCCCCCTTGTTGCTTGCAGAATATGAATATTTGATATCTTTGTTGAAATTGTTCGCTCTGAGCATTGCAAGGGAAGTGTAGATAACATCCATACATGAGCAGATGCTCCTAATTCAACCATGAAGCGTTATGTTTATATCAATGATGATGAATCATCACATGATATTTTCTGTGATAATCGTATATCCAACAGAAAATATACTGTATTGAATTTTATCCCAAAAAATTTATGGGAACAGTTTAGGTATTCCTTCCATGGATGCTGCTGATTATCCCTGATTTTGTATTAGAAGTATGTAACATTGATGCACCCACATGTGCATATGCAAGCACCTTCAGTGTTGTGTGCCATGATCTCTTTCCTTGTCTTATTTGATATTGAATAAAAAAGGTTTGATTGCACGGAATGAAAATGCATCTTATCAAGTCTTCTTGTAAGCATGTGTTTTTTGCAGTCTTTTTGACATGTATCAGATAATTTGCCAGAGGAGGTGAGAGTTCAGAAGATTAAAAGAGAATGTAGTGTCAAATTGAAATTGTTTGAAATTATTGTGACAATCCCAAGAAGTTTTGATTTGACATTTATGGAACTCACTCTAGCTACTAGGGATTCAGTTTTTTCTTTGTGTGTATTTTTTAAGCTTCCTCAGGTGTTATGGCAGGCGCATGTTTTTTTTATTAGTCAGTTATTCTTGGCTGGAAAGTTTTCCTGTTAACTTTATAATGAAGTATAAATATCTGAAACCCTTGTTGCTACCTTTTATTTGGCAATGCCTTGTCGCTCTATAATTCATCTGTTCTTTTTCCCCCTTTTTTCAGCCGGTTCATGAATCAGTACTTTTTGCTGATAGCTTGCCTGCAGCTATGGCCTCTCATTACTCCAGTAAATCCTGCCAGTACATGGGGTCCACTGATCTTTATTTTTGCAGTCTCTGCAACAAAAGAGGCATGGGATGATTACAATAGATATCTTTCGGACAAGAAGGCAAATGAGAAGGAAGTTTGGGTTGTCAGGCAGGGTGTGAAGAAACTAGTATGAAACACATTTGCTTTTTTTAGATATATTTTTGTTCTTTGTTGCTTATGAGTTGAGAATAAAACAACCATACAGTTAAAAGGTCAAAGAGGAATAGGAAGCTAGACTTAGCTTATAGTTTCCAGCAATTAATCGTCATTTCAATAATTGTAATCTTTTGATTTTTCTGAGATATTGTTACTGTTTCATGTCAGTAAATGATTGACTTTAACGAAAATCCTACACAAAAAGATATCAGGTAAGATTTGTGAAATTTTTAAATAATAGGAAAATCATTTGTTGGTATTCTTACATTTATTGATGACTTGGTAGTTAATAGTTATATGTATATATACATGGGGTATATTCCTCAAATAATATGCATCCTATGTATTTTCTCAAAGCTTTTCCTCTCCCAGTTTTTACGTTTAGAAAGGTCAAAGATAGTGCAAGGTTGATTGGTCCATTCTGGTATAGACTAATTGTTTGTTTACTTTTCATCTACGTTCTTATGTATATACTGCAAAAAGAAAATAAAACACAAGGACTACAGAAGGGCCAAAGAAAATAAAGTAGTTAAACATCAATGTGGGTTGCCTCAGGCCAAAAGCAACAATGAGTAACAGCATTCAACATCCAACTTACAAACGATCTTAACTTGAGCATGCTTCCCTGACTAGATTCACTCATTTGAGTTATGCACCATATTTATTGTTCATTGTCCTGCTGAAAATCATTATGAAAGTGTGAACGCATTCTCATTAATCATTAGTAGTTTACTTGTAAAAGAACCTAAGGTCATACCTATCCATATGAGCAATCTTATCCTACTCCTATGACCTAGTTGAGGCATCAATTTGTGCCATTACACTGTGATTCTATGTAATAATTTGGCCAAAGACCTGCTTGAGCCATTAAGTGAATCAGACTTTAAGGTTTAGCTTCTTAGCTTAGCTTATATATACATTAGTCTGCCCTCCACTTTTCCACCCTTTTCCTAATAAAGAATTACATAAGCTTTATGTTTTAAAGTTCATATGTGCTGTGTTCTTTTATATCTTTAGATCTGATTGTTTCTTTTGGTGGTTGCATTGGTGTTGTTGTTGTAGATCCAAGCCCAGGATATTCGTGTAGGTAGTATAGTTTGGCTACGTGAAAATGATGAAGTTCCTTGTGACCTTGTTTTGATTGGTGCCTCTGATCAACAGGGACTTTGCTATGTAGAGGTAATTATGGCTTGAAACATGCTAAAATTGGTTCTCTTCGTCTGTCTGTCTGTCCCCCCTCGCCTACCTTTCATGGGGGTATCGGAGAGAATGTAATTCCACTCCGTGTTTTTCTTACTTTTTCTTTGAGGAAGAGGGACATCTTTCATTTTGTACATTTAAAGGATTTGATGATATGGCAATATGACGTGTTATTCAGACTGCTGCACTGGATGGTGAAATTGATCTGAAGACACGGGTCATACCTTCTGCTTGCATGGGAATTGAGTTTGAACTATTGCACAAAATCAAGGCAAGATTTTATCTAAAGTAACTACAATGGGTAGAATTGTTAGAAACTTCTGTCAAAATTATATAGCAAAATAAATCACGCTATCCTTTGTGTGTGTGCCCAGGGTGTAATTGAGTGCCCTAGTCCAGATAAAGACATAAGAAGATTTGACGCAAACATGCGGTTGTTCCCCCCATTTATTGATAATGATATATGCCCTTTAACCATAAAAAACACAGTTCTTCAGTCATGTTACTTACGAAATACTGAGTGGGCATGTGGAGTGGCTATATATACAGGCAAGCCCCTGCATAACATTTATCAAACTCTTGGACCATGAAGTTTTTCAGTAAGAGTTTAAAATTTGATCTGGTATTGTGCTATTTCTTCAGGCAATGAAACCAAGATGGGTATGAGTAGAGGCATCCCAGAACCAAAGCTCACTGCTATGGATGCCATGATTGACAAGTTGACTGGAGCTATATTTGTATTCCAAATTGTTGTTGTTATGGTTCTTGGCATAGCGGGTAATGTTTGGAAGGATACAGAAGCAAAGCAAGTAGGTCACAATTTCTGAACTTCAGTTTCTTATGCACTTATAATCATGTCAAATCTTATGCTTGTTAGGATGTGTTCACTTGTCTTTGTAATTTATGGATTGCTATATTGACCTTTCATCTACTTGTACTTCTGTTAAAGGAGCTCTATATGTATTGCAATTTTCAGTTTGTTTCTAACAAGAGTAGGTTGGCTTGGTTTGTTAATCCGTTGTGTTTCATGTGCACTATTTGCTTGAAAGTACTTTCAATGAAGAAAGGTTTTTGGTTAGTTTTAGGAGCTAATTCCTCTTTACAGGGGCAACTGCATTTGTAATTTGCTTGCTGTCATTTTGCTATTCTATTCCTCAAGGCTTGTGTTTTTTAATCTTCCTTCTGATTAAGCTTTTGCCATTTTTAATGCCTTATCTGTATTTATTCTCTATAAGTTCTCATGTCATGAAATGTTATTCTCAAGATGTATGCACGCGGATCCTCATGTTTTTTGTTTTTTTGGAAGCAATGGTATGTTCTTTACCCAGATGAAGGCCCTTGGTTTGAACTATTGGTCATACCTTTGCGGTTTGAGCTTCTTTGTTCCATCATGATACCTATTTCAATCAAGGTGAGCTGGTGGGATAGGTTTTGGCAATATAATCTATATTAGGATTAGATCCTCCAAAGTAAGGGGTTCAGTTTAAAGAGTTAAGTGAAGGATTGTAATTGTTGTTGAGAAGATCTAGGCAGTGGATTACAACGTGTATAATCTATTATGCAGGTGCTTGTATTTTATAAAATTCTAAACCCTTGATTTTCTCATCAACTGTTACGATCCCTCACTTTACTCTCTAAAGCGAACCCCTTACTTTAGAAGATCCAAATCCTATATTTTATGGTTCAATATGCTCATAATTTTGGTTGTCATTCATAAAACACCCATAGTATAGTTATTGAAAAGAAGTTTTTGTATATTGATATTGAATAATTTACATGAGTTAGTATTTATACAAGAAAGAATCGCTAAGAATGACTAAGCGATGACTAAGCGATGACAAATCAATCCTAATCACAATCAATTCTAATCAATCACAATCAATCCTAATCAATCATAATCAATCCTAATTAATAGGAAATAAAAACGGAAACATGTTTGAATTCTGATTTTCTACACTCCCCCTCAAGTTGGGAGGTAAATATTGATCATTCCCAACTTGCCAATCAAGTCTTCGAATGCTGGACGGTGTAGGCCCTTGGTAAGGATATCTGCCGTTTGCTCTTTGGTCGGAACATATATCAAACGCACACTTCCATCATCTAATTTTTCTTTGATGAAGTGACGATCAACTTCCACGTGCTTTGTTCGATCATGATGCACAGGATTTTGAGCAATGCTAACAGCTGCCTTGTTGTCGCAATATAGTTTTATTGGTAGGGAATATGAAATCTTCAACTCTTGAAGAAGTCTTCTCAACCAGATTCCTTCACAAACTCCATGAGCTAAAGCTCGAAATTCTGCTTCAGCACTACTTCTTGCAACCACTGTTTGCTTTTTGCTTCTCCAAGTAACAAGATTTCCCCACACATAGGTGCAATAGCCTGAGGTAGATCTCCTGTCTACTGATGAGCCTGCCCAATCTGCATCAGTGTAGATTTCAATTGTCCTTATATACCCTTTTTTAAAGAATAATCCTCTTCCTGGAGTATTCTTGAGGTATCTAATCACCCTATAGACTGCACTAAGATGCTTCTCCTTGGGTGAGTGCATGAATTGACTAATCATACTCACCGCAAAGGCAATGTCAGGACGCGTATGAGATAAGTAGATTAGTTTACCAACCAATCTCTGATATTGTTCTTTATCCACCTCATTCCCATCTTCAATACCTAACTTGGTATTAGGTTCCACAGGTGTCTCAGCAGGTTTACACCCTAACATTCCTGTTTCCAACAAAAGATCTAGAACATATTTCTTTTGTGTTAGAGTGATGCCTGTTTTGCTCCTAGCAACTTCCATACCAAGAAAATATTTGAGAGTGCCAAGGTCTTTGAGTTCAAATTGAGCTGCTAGAAATTTCTTCAAGGTGTTCAATTCCTCAATATCATCACCTGTAAGAATTATATCATCTACATATACAATAAGAATAGCAATTTTACCATCCTTAGAGTGTTTGTGGAAGAGAGTATGATCAGTCTGTGCTTGAATGAAGCCTCTTCTTTTGACTGCTTGTGTGAATTTGTCGAACCATTCTCTGGGAGATTGTTTCAATCCATATAGAGACCTTTTTAGTTTACACACTGATCCATTTCCCTTTTCAAAACCAGGTGGAGGATCCATATAGACTTCTTCATGTAAGTCACCATTTAGGAATGCATTCTTCACATCTAACTGTTGTAGAGGCCAATCTAGATTGGCAGCAAGAGATAAGAGAACTCGGATGGTATTGACTTTAGCAACCGGAGCAAAAGTCTCATGATAATCTATCCCATGAGTCTGAGTGAAACCCTTTGCAACCAATCTTGCCTTGTATCTGTTGATGCTATTATCTGCATTGAATTTTATTGTAAACACCCATTTGCATCCTACTGCCTGTTTTCCTTTGGGTAGGGTCACTATCTCCCAAGTTCCATTTCTTTCTAAAGCATTCATTTCTTCAAAGACAGCATCCCTCCATTTTTGATCATTGAGAGCCTCATGTATATTTCTCGGTATCTTTGTACTATCCAATATAGTATTGAAAGCACGAAACCCTGGGGACAACTTTCCATATGAAATATGATTAGAAATAGGATGAGTAGTACAAGATCGAGTACCTTTTCTGAGAGCAATGGGCAAGTGTAGATCATTTTCACCATGACACTCAAGTATTGGGGTGCTGGAACTAGAACATGGTTCAGAATCCTGGCAGTGTAGAGGCTCTGGGTTATTCACACTTTGAGGAGGCTTTCGCCTGCTATAAACTTGTCCCCATTTTGAGGAGGCTCTTGATGGTGAGGATTCTGTAGCTCCTCCTGTTTCCAAAAGTAGAGGTAATACCGTGGCATCAGTAGGTTCCCATGACTGATCTTCATCTACTCCTATAGACTCCCCCTGAAGAGAAGTCGAGGGGAAGAAAGGGTCATTCTCAGAAAAAGTGACATCCATAGAGACAAAGACCTTACGAAGAGAGGGTGAATAACATTTATAGCCACGTTGAGTAGGAGAATAACCAATAAAGACACACTGAAGAGACTTAGGATCAAGCTTAGACCGTTGATGGGAGGGAATATGGACAAATGCAACGCAACCAAATAACTTGAGAGGTAAGGAGGAGACACCTCGGAAGGAAGGGAAGATACGAACAAGACTAGAAAGAGGAGACTGAAATTTCAGAATGCGAGATGGCATTCGATTTATCAGATACGAGGCAGTGAGAATTGCCTCTCCCCAAAGGTATTTAGGAACACTCGTGGTAAACATAAGAGCCCGAGCAACTTCAAGGAGATGTCGGTTTTTTCTTTCCGCAACTCCGTTTTGTTGGGGTGTGTCAGGACACGAGCTTTGGTGAAGGATGCCATGTTGGGAAAGATATTCTCCAAGAATAGAGTTAAAATACTCTTTGCCATTATCTGTACGAAGAATTTGTATAGCAACTTGGAATTGGGTTTGAACCATGGCATGAAATTTTTTAAACACGGATGCAGCATCGGACTTACCCTTTAGAAGATACACCCAACAGACTCGAGAATGGTCATCAATGAAGGTAATGAACCATCGAGTACCTGAAATATTTTTAATACGGGCTGGACCCTATATGTCACTATGAATTAAGGAAAATGGGGAAGAGTCATGGTGAACTTCAGAAGGATAATGAGCACGAGTATGCTTGGCAAGTTGACAAATATCACAAGAAAACAAACTTGGACTTTTATTAATAAATAAGTTTGGCAACAACTTCTGAAGATAAATAAAATTTGGATGGCCTAGCCTACGATGCCACAGCATAACATCATTACTTGAATCAAAAGGAAACATAGAGTTTTTTTCTACGAAAACAGCTTCATGAGTCACATCCTCCTCAAAGTAGTAAAGTCCACCATCCTCTCTAGCACTGCCAATCATCCTCTCCGAGTCCTGTTCCTGAAAAACACAACCATGTGGAAAGAATTTAGCAAAGCAATGCAACTCAAAGGTGAGCTTGCTAATGGAAATGAGATTACAAGTCAGAGAAGGAACATAAAGAACTGATGTCAAAGTAATCAGCTCAGAAAGTTTAATGGTTCCGTGTCCCGCAATCTGGGAAAAACTGCCATCGGCGATCTTGACCCGAGAAGGTTCAGAATATGGAGTGTATGAACAAAACAAGCCAAGATTACCTGTCATATGATCAGAGGCTCCAGAATCAAGGATCCAATGATTTTGACTATCAACATGGAAAGCTGTACCTTGTTGGACCACATGACTAGTGGCCTTAGGAAGGGGTGATGAGGAGGCGGAAGAGTGTTTTGAGGAAGCCATGAATAGGAAGAGAAGAGTTGACCGGTGATGAAAAATCAAGTTTTGTAAATTTTTGATCAGACCTCTGGAACAGGAAGGGGAGAAGCCGGCGAGAAGGTCTGTGCAAGTCGCGGCGGAAAAAAATGTTGGGAAGGCGGCGCGTGGAGCTCACGCGCCGGAAACTGGCCGCGCGTGTGACGGCGCGTGCGGCGGTTGACGGTGATGGGTCCAGCGGCGGTTGACGGTGATGGGTCCAGCGGCGGTCGACTCGTCGGATCCTTCTGAGTCGAATGCTCACCTCACTTTCTTGATCGGAGGTCAGTAGACTAGGTTTCTGTGTTGGACAGATTCAAGGAGGTGTTTGACGGTGATGGAAGTGTTTGGATGGTTATTTCAGATTTGAATTAGGGTAGGAACAAACCCGCTCTGATACCATATTGAAAAGAAGTTTTTGTATATTGATATTGAATAATTTACATGAGTGAGTATTTATACAAGAAAGAATCGCTAAGAATGACTAAGCGATGACTAAGCGATGACAAATCAATCCTAATCACAATCAATTCTAATCAATCACAATCAATCCTAATCAATCATAATCAATCCTAATTAATAGGAAATAAAAACGGAAACATGTTTGAATTCTGATTTTCTACAATAGTAAGCATAGTGTTAGTCCTTCAAGGGAATAAGATTGATGACCTTACTATATAAATGAAAGGATGTCATCAAAATTGATGTACTAAACAAAAAGTTGTGATCTTGGACCGATAATAATTGCGCTACTATTAATTATTATTTGATTCGTGTAATGAACCGACTCCTAAAAGCATTAAGCTATATGGTGAATGTACATGATTGTCTTTATATCTTAACATGCCACTTCACCAAAAGCCTTTTGGGCTTGAAGCATAGACAATTTACAGGAGCACCATCTTGTGCTTAAATTTAACTTCTTATTCAGACAAAATGACGGTGATACTCTTGACCGCTTGGTCATAGAGACTTTGATACCATATCATGATCCAACTATTCCAAAAGCTTAAGCTGTTGAGTGATGAATCATTTTATATATCTTAACATTTATTGATTATTTCAAGCTTCTGTAAATATTGAGATTGACTATTACAGTATTTTTAAAGTTGATGCAGCCAACTGTTTGATCTCTGGCAGGTATCTCTGGATCTGGTGAAGAGCTTATATGCTAAATTTATTGATTGGGACCATCATATGATTGATCTGGAGACTGGTATTCCATCCCATGCAACAAAGTGAGTGTGTGGAGCATCCTGATTACAATGAGCACTTTCAGAAACAATTAGTTTGCTCATATTTTGATGAAGAATGTTTGTTGCATATGGCAGTACAGCAATAAGCGAGGACCTCGGACAAGTTGAGTATATTTTGACTGACAAAACAGGCACACTGACTGAGAATAAGATGATATTGAAAAGATGTTTTATCAGCGGCATTTTCTATGGAAATGACAATGGAGATGCACTGAAAGGTCTGCTTGACTTATGGAACTCTTTCTTGTTACCTTTTTGTCTTTTATTGCTGTATTTGTACTTTTTCTTAACTGGAAACTTTACCGGAGTCTTGGCAATTAAAGGTTTGAGATATATCATAGAAAACTTGCATCTGGATATCTATTTTCTGGCTTTATATGTTGAAGTTTTCCCCGAGAAATTATATAACTTCTGGTGTTGAGAAGGTATTGTATCTAAGGCTTGACTAATTGCACTGATCTTGCGAACTCAATGATCATAGAAATCTAAATAGAATTATAATGTTGTCATCTTAAAAAATGTAGGTTTTATATTCTCGTTCCTTCAACAACAAAACTGAAGGGTGCATTTGCATTCTAAGTAAATTAAATTGAAGTTGGGAACAAATGCTTGAGCTTACGATCAACTATTATATATACAATCAAGCAGCTGCAAAGCAGTTCTCAACCTTACCTTATTAGTATATCCTGCACTGATACTTTAGGTATCCAGAAAGACTCCAGAATTGACAGTTCCAATAATTTCTTCGATTCAACACAATCTAGTTTTCTCATTAAGACATGTATGGTTATTTATTTGAAAACAAGCGTGGATTTCTCATCTAATACTCTAATAGGCATCATTTGACATTATCAAGATGGAATATGTATTTTACTGGAAGACATCTCTGGTACATAATACATTATACATATGAAATTCACAATTTGAAGATTGTCTGACTTAGTTGGTCTTGGACTTGTAATTATTATTTATATCTATTTATGAGTATGTGACTTCTCTTTTGTTCCTTTTAACCCTTTACTGTTTATGCGAACACTTGTTGACTTTTTGTTTAATCACTGAATGTTTTGTGATTGTGAAGCTATATTTTGTTCTGTAACTGTCTTAAGAGTTTCACCTTCTGATTAATTGCTTTCTGTGCTCTGCAGACATAGAGCTTCTCAATGCTGTTTCAAACGGTTCTCCTGATGTTATACAATTTCTTACAATTATGGCGATTTGTAATACTGTCGTGCCTACGCGAAGGTTATTATATGTCTTTATCCTTGCTAGGACACAGGGATATGAAGACTATTAAGATTGACATATATCTGAGTATATTTGTTGTAGCCTTGAGAGTAAAAGTTATTAATTTTGCACTTGTTTTTTCATGTTATCATTCTTAGTAAAACTGGAGATGTCTTGTACAAGGCACAGTCTCAGGATGAGGATGCTCTTGTTCTTGCTGCTGGTAAACTGAATATGGTTTTCTTCAACAAGAATGGAAACATTCTAGGTACATGTCACTTGCTACTATTATTTGAAGCATGACCCCGATTAGTTGGCTATTTGGTTTCATATACACATCTTTAATTTATTGCAGAAGTCAAGTTCAACTCTTCAGTACTTCAGTACGAAGTCCTGGAAACCCTAGAGTTCACCTCTGATAGGAAAAGAATGTCAGTAGTGGTGAAAGATTGCCAAAATGGAAAGATCCTTCTTCTGTCAAAAGGTGCAGATGAGGCAATTCTTCCATTTGCTCGCACTGGTAAGATTGTTTATGTTTCCATTTTATTTATATTTTAGTATGATGGAACCCATAAAAATACAATACTGAATTCATTAACAATGGAGGTATAGCCTCTTTTTACATACACTAATACAATATAAAATGCAGAAAATAAACCTAGAAAGCCTCAACTCCCCCTCAAACCAAATATCTAGGCTCAAGAGTTCCCTAGAGGTCTCTCATTTCCCCACTAACCAATTCTGAATACATGCATCCCCACACTACACACACCATCTCCTTTTTATCCTATACTTTAGGAATATTCTAGAATAGTTTTCATAACAAACAAACTATTTTAATAACTTTTAGGCCCATGGCCCATCAATACTCCCCCTTTAAAATTCAACTTGTCCTCAAGGTGAAGAAAGAGACTAGGATTCCACCTGGTTCCATTGTTTGAAGCATCTTGAACACATTGGCAACTTCAATTCCCTTATTTGAGAAACTCTTCCACCGGGATCCCATTGGTTGAAGCATATTGACCCAATCATAAACTTCAATTCACGAGTCACATAAATGACCAGAAAATTATGGGATACCCTAAAGTCCCCTAAGATTACCATTTCCTTTCCATGAACCTCACCCTATAACTTCAAAAAAAAATTGGAATTCCCACCCACCATGCCTTGTACACTCAACCTTAGCGCCACCTCCCCTCTTTCTTCTCCCCTTCCATCTTCCACTGTTCCAACCAACAAAACTTTTGAGGTGAGGAATTTGGCATACCTGTTCATAGAAGATAGGATCCTCCCAGTGGGCCCATAATTTTCGGCGCCTCTGGTCATTCCATTCCTCCATTGTCAATCTGTGATATTGCGAGCTTCTAGGATTATTTTGATCCTTGTTTCCTATTGCGTTGGCACTCCCTGTTGTCGCTTTCATTCTTTGGTCATAAGAAAAGTTTAACCCCAATGAATCAGCGTTCCTTTTATTTGACCCTTGATTATGACCTTGGGTACCATCTTGGGCCAGTCCTCTTGGATGGATTGAATTAGGCCCGTTTCTGATTTCATTAACTACCATGGAAATCTTATTTGGACCCTCCACATTAATCATTCCATGTTGGGCCGTAGGTGTTAGCACATTTCCCTTATGAGTGTTCTCCCCTTGCAACCCATTTCTTCCCTCCATATTTCTCAAAGCGGGTCGCCCAATATACCCGCTTACAGCCGCTGACCCTATTTTCCCATTACCTGCATATGACCCGCTTCGATCCAGAACAGCTTCTTTCTCCTCTATGTTGATTTCTTCTTCTTCTTTGCTTTCTTCAACTTCTGCTACTTTTCCATCTTTTTTCTCTACTTTTTCTGCACCTTCTTTTTCTTTTTCCTCTTTTTTTCCTTTCTCTTGTTCTTTTGCATCTTCTCCGACGAGTATGTTGAGGTCACTCTTGATCTTCCAGACGACCACACCATCATTCTCCACAGCGTTTAGCCAATTATTTCCATTAATGTCAACGATGGTGTCGCCACAATCGGAAATGAAACTCCGGCATCCGATGCCAGGTTGCCGACGGTCAGGAGGAGCTCTTCCAACAGGTTGCGACATTTCATCTGCGCTGATTTCTTTTGTTTCTTCTTCTACAATTTCTTCTTCTTCATTTTCTTCTGTATTCTTTTGCTTTGCTGCAACATCTACGTGTTCTGCCTGTTCTTCTTCTACTTCAATTATTTTTGCACCTTCGATTTCTTTTTCTTCAACTTCTTCACCCTCTGTTCTTCCTTCGTCATGCACTCCATTCAGATTTCGACTATCGTAACACTGATCTATTACATCCTTGAGTCTCCGAATTGTTCCTTGCAATTGACGGATAGCGTCTTCCACCCCTTCCAATCTTTCTTCCCTCATGCGATCCATGCTTCCTTCAACTTTCGTGATTGTGTTTTTTTTTTTTTTTTTTTTGTAGATCTGGACCAGAAGCATTCCCTAGATCGGAAATGCTCTAATATCAAATTGATGGAACCTAGAAAAATACAATACTTGAATTCATTAACAATGGAGCCATAGCCTCTTTTTACATACACTAATACAATATAAATTGCAGAAAATAAACCTAGAAAGCCTCAACTCCCCCTTAAACCAAATATCTAGGCTCGAGAGTTCCTTAGAGGTCTCCTATTTCCCCCACTAACCAATTCTGAATACATGCATCCCCACACTACACACACTACTACCTCCCTTGTATCCTATACTTTAAGAATATTCTAGAATAGTTTTCATACCACAAACTATTTTACTAACTTTTAGGGCCATGGCCCATCATAGTACAATTGAGTGCTATTTACATAGAGATTTTCAATTAAAATTTGTGTTTCACATTTCACAACTGCTGATAGCAATCCTTTGTACTTACACTGGTACTATATACATTTTCACATTTCACACCAGTTTGATTAATATTTTGTTGTTCCTTTTAGAATGAGTTGACCAAAGACTCATGAATGACATAGTCCATAAAAAATTGAAACTTTCCATCACGCTTGTAAATTCATAACTTGTTATAATATATATATATATATATATATATATATATATATATATATATATATATGTTAGTGTAGAATATTCTAGATTGTGATTTATCATTTATTGCTTTTTTGCTATCTGTTCCCTTATTTATTAGTGTCTCTTGTTATTGTAAATAAGTCTCTTAGTTTACTGTTGCTATTTATTGGTGTATGTAAAGAACCTTGGGATACACCACCCCAAAAGCTAGCTCAAAGGGTGGGAGTGTCCAAGGCCTTATAAACTCCACATTAGTTGCTCATACAACCAATGTGGGACTATATATCTCAACACACCCCCTCACACAAGAGCCCATTGGACTTGAAGAGTGGATGATGCAAAAGGCCTAACCTACCTATGCTAAGAAATTCCACAAGAGAAAGTGGGGGGCGACGAGGATCGAACTCGGTACACCGAGGCTCTAATACTATGTAAAGAATCAATTTAACCCAAAAGCTTAAGCTGTTGGGTGAGGCTACATTAATGATTTTTTATATATCTCAACAGTGTAGTTTACTGTACTCAATATTGTTGAGATATATAAAACCATTAAAAAGCCCTCACCCATTAGCTTAGGCTTTTGGGTTGAATTGGTTCTTTACATGGTATCAGAGCCTCGTGTTCCGGACTCGATCCTCGCTGCCCCCCACTTTCTTTCAAGTGGAATTTCTTTGTTCGCACAAGTAGGTGGGCCTGTGCATTGTCCACCCTTCAAGCCCAGTGGTCTCTCGTGTGAGAGGGCGTGTTGAGATATATAAAACCATTAAAAAGCCCTCACCCAAAAGCTTAAGCTAATGGGTGAGGGCTTTTTAATGGTTTTATATATATCCCAAGGTTCTTTACATGGTATCAGAGCTCTTTTGTTCTGAGGACCCTCGCTTTTGCTTAGAAACCTTGTTTTTGCTTTAAAACCTAAGCCCACTGCTTAGGAGTCCTCTTTCTTTGCCGTGCGTCCTTCCGGCAAGCCATCTAGGGCTGTAAACAGCTTCGGAGTAATTTTCCAAACGCGTCAGCACCGTCGACGGCCACCGGAACCACCGTCCGCCACTAGGACCACTGTTCAGGCCACCGGAGACGTTTTTCCGGCGACTTTTCAGACCAGACGTCACGCGATCAGGACCGTCTCCTCCCGGTGATAAGCTCTGTGGAGGTCCGGTCACCAACGCATCCCTCACGCGCCGCCCACCTCCTCTGCGCGTGGGCCTCACGCGCCACCTTCTACCGGCGCGTGTGCACTACTCCGGCGGCTTTTTCCGGCCGGTCTTGGACAGAGAAACTCGCCTTCTCTTCCCCTTTCTGGATCTGTGATTGTTTCTCTGTGGGTCTGACCTTAGACGCGTGGTTCTCCTTGATTGGATATCGTTTGCCTTCGTTTACGACTTTTATATTTTATCTTTAAATGGCAGCAGCATCTCCTGATCTCTCGGAGGTTAACTCTCCTTCTATTGTTGCAAATATAGCTCAGTCAGACAATGCATCATTTGGTTCAGGTTCGGACTATGCTGCACTCCAAACCCCACTCAGGAAGGCTTCTCCTCAGTCTCAGCCTTATACTGGTAATCCCATTGCTTGTGTTTCTCATTCTACATCACTTGGCACTTGGATATTTGACTCCGGTGCTACCGATCATCTCTGTGGTAATAAGGAACTCTTTACATCTCTTACTTATTCTGATCATTTACCGTCTTTTACCCTTGCGGATGGAACCAAAGCCCCAGTTCGTGGGATTGGACAAGCTCGTCCGACCTCTACCTTGGCCCTGACATCTGTCTATTACATTCATGGCATCCCTTATAACTTAATTTCTATTAGTAAGTTGATCCACTTCCTCACTTGCACCATTACTTTCTCTAACCATTCTGTTTCTGTGCAGGATCCGGGTACGGGGAAAATGATTGGAGTGGGTCGTGAGTCACAGGGGCTTTATTATCTGGATGTGCCTCGTCCTTCAGTAGCATGCTCTCTCACAGAATCTCCACAACTTATCCACAGTCGCCTTGGTCATCCAAGTCTTTCAAAGTTGCAGAAAACGGTTCCTCTTTTGTCCGGTCTTCAGTCTTTAGATTGTGTGTCATGTCAACAAGGGAAGCATACACGCTCCTCTTTTGCCAGTCGAGTCAATAAACGAGCTGATGCCCCTTTCTCTCTTGTTCATTCAGATATCTGGGGTCCAAGTCGTACCTTGTCTGTCTTAGGTTTTCGGTATTTCGTTACCTTTATTGATGATTTTTCCCGCACTTGGACCTATTTAATGAAAAATCGTTCTGAGTTATTTTCCATTTATAAAAAGTTTTCTACTGAGATCCATACTCAATTTGGTGTTTCTATTTGTATTCTACGTAGTGATAATGCTAAGGAATATGTTTCTATTGATTTTTCTAATTTCTTGGCCACACAAGGTACTTTACATCAAACTACTTGTCCTCAAACTCCACAACAAAATGGGGTGGCTGAACGTAAAAACAGACATCTCA